ATATGTAAATGCATACACATATCTTCCACAATTCTGTTGCACTACGACGAGAGCAAGTTTCTGCCAACAGAAAAATAGTCAAAGTTGGAAATAGAAAACGCATGATCTGCCCGAAAGTTAGTGCACGACTTTTCGTGCAGTTTACAGCAGAATTGCAAAGGAATAGTTTGTTATGCCGCGTCGCCGGTTGGTGACGGCTTACGGCAAAACGTTTATTATTTTCGGGATCTCTTGACCTTACGAGTTGGGACTCGTAGGCACAGGCGGGCAGACTAGGAAGCGGTCGGGTTCGCAGGTGGAACGGGGGTGTAGGCGTCGTTAAATGAACTTCACTTCGTATTACTTTCTATTGCAGCTTTATTTCAGCGCCCCTTTTACACTCACTAACTTACACTTGTATTTGCCTTCCACAATTACTATAAAGCCCCTTGCACAATGCCAGGCAACAGGCAATAGGAACAGGGAATAGAAATCAGAAATCATGTATAAATGCAGAATAAACAGTGACACAGGCAATAGACACAGAGTTTCCGTCACGTTGGAAATTCTGTGTCTATTGCCTGTTGCCAACCAATCATAGCATTCGAATCTTTTAGGTTGTAATTAACGATTTTTTGGTTATTTCCTGTTCCTATTGCCTGTTGCCTGGCATTGTGCAAAGGGCTTAACTCGCACGCGCTTTGTTATAATGTAAACCTTCGCGACACGACTTACGAGAACGGTCACGGGCAGAGTCTCCGGTGTATTACTCTCCGTCGCGGCTTCTTCGACGGTCCCTTATATTGCTTTGAGTTATGCCCTGTCGGCACTTTTCCGCCGGGTTCGACGGTCCCCCGAATGAGGTCGGTCAGTGACCGAGCGCATTCGCAATCTCGCTGTACTCCCGCGGTTCCGCGATTGTCGAAATGCGTTGTCGCACATTCCTATGCATCTCGCAATATTGTGTCGAAATGCGTTGTCGCACATTATTATGCATATCGCAATAGTTCGATTGACGCGGAAGCTTGATGAACTCCCGCGTCCGCGTCAGCGTAAATTGAGGAGTCTTTCGAAAGACAATTTCCTCGTAGTCTTTCGAAAGGCTATTCTATAATTTTATTATAAATAATTTAATAATTACCCGTTGTAATTTTAGATTACAACAGGTTAAAAAGTTACACAACAAATTCATTATATTTTCTTAATATAAAAACATTTATATTATTTTGGAAATTAGAACAAATGTTCCGTCATTATTCGAAATATTTTGATAATATAAAAGATTTGAAATCTTTTTTAATAGATAAATTTAATAAGGTTAAGACCGATCATATTTTGAATTGTCACCAGTTACATAAAAAAATAATAAGTCGATTTGTCGTATTTAGATTGAGTTTTTAATAAGAAAAAGTGTACCACATTAAGCAAGAGATACGATAGCAAAAGTATGGCAATGCATGTTAAATAAATAATTTTATAATACTTTTAAAATTTCCGTTTATTCTGTCTTTTCTTTACATTTTATTATTTTTTATAAACAATTTAATATAAAAACATAAATACACAGAACATTTAAACAGCAGATACTTGTGTAGATATATAACATACAAAATATAATGAACAGATTTATTAAATTATTTTTTTAAATTTTACATAAATATAATATAAAGATTTATAATTAAACTACTATATTAACAATATTTTTACTCTATAAAACGTTTATTTTTTAATTGTGTTGTTAAAATTTGCGATTATTGAAATTACCATGATTCAAAATTCGGCGGGAGTTGAGGAGAAATGGCGGACCAATCAAAAGCCTGTTACCGTATGACTCTTAAGCTGAAATTTCATGCGAGCGAAGAAAAGCCAGCGTTTATCCCCACTCCACCTCACTGTAAAGCCAGCGTAGAACAGCTAACGCTATCGCCCCTATCATTTTCATGGAGCGAAGAAAAGCTGGCGTATTACCCCCACTCCACGCAATGCAAAGTAGCATTTAAACGCTGAGCTAACGCTACTTAACCGACAAGAAGAAGAACTGTGTATAATAAAAATGGAGTACTCCAATTATTATGAACAGTACATCGCGTACGTTGAATATTATAGACGTACAGTGGCAGCTGCAGTTGCAGCAGAGGTTGTAAGGAGACGACGCATAGCCGCTACAGCTGCAGCTATATATTTAATGAAAAAGAAAAGAAGATACGCGAAGAAAAGGTTTTAGGTAGCACCCATTTTTGAAAATCGTGATGTACATAGTTTTTTCTTTGCGTCGGTCCCGAAGTTAATATTGAAGAACATACGTTTCCACAATTAATTATTTTCGGATGACCGCAACTCAGTTGGAAGAATTGTTGGGCATGGTTGGACCAAGATTGCAAAAGCAGGACGTCATTCGACAAAGTATCTCACCAGCTGAACGGTTGGCATTAACATTGAGGTTTGTTTTGCTTGATCCAATTTAATTTTTAATTTAATGTTTTTTGTAGTGTATAAACGTAACAACGTTATACATTTTTTCTTAATGCGTGAATATTATGGTATATTATATATTAAATATTATAGATATCTTGCTTCCGGGGACTCCATGATATCGATGTCCTACCAATATCTCGTGGGAGTGACAACAGCGGGTAATATCAACCATGAAACCTGCAAAGCAATATGAGATGTTTTATGCCCTTTAGTTCTTTCGGGTCGACTGGAAGAAGGAGACTGGGTGGATATCGCCAATGATTTTAACGAAAGATGGAATTTCGTTCATTGCATTGGAGCCATTGATGGCAAGCACGTCACCATTCAAGTACGTAAAATCATTGTTTGTATACGATATAATTTAATAAGAAGTACAATTTGAAATAACAATTTTTACTTTTAGTGTCCCAAAAATGCTGGATCAGCGTTTTATAATTATAAACACAGTCACAGCATAGTTCTCATGGCTATCTGCGATGCAAATTATATAATACGTTTTGTGGATATCGGGGCATACGGACGACGAAGTGATGGTGGCGTCTTCAAAGAAAGTGCTATGGGGAAAGCATTCGAATAAGGTAGAATGAATATTCCACAACCAGCAGCGCTTGGAGAAGGAGGACCAATTTTACCATAATACTGTCTTGTGGGAGATGAAGCCTTTCCTTTGAAACCATACTTGCTTCGTCCGTATCCAGGTAGAGGACTGACACCAGAGCAAGAAATGTACAATTACCGTCTGAGTCGTGCGAGACGAATAATAGAAAACGTATTTGGTATACTCGCCAGTCAATGGAGAGTATACAGAAAACCAATTATCGCCAGTCCTGATAACGCAAAGTTAATGGTTCAAGCAACTGTTTGTTTGCATAATTGGCTTCGCCGGCAGGACATTGATGAGAACGCATATGTGCCTCCGGGTTTGATCGATGATCCGCGCACTGTCCAAATGGCTTCAGACCAGGGTCTTGGCGTGTCATCATGGAAGATGGATGCGCATTCAGAGACATCTCAAACTGTGGATCGAACATGAGTGCCCGACAATGCATAGAAATTCGAAATGAATTTTGTCGTTATTTTAATAACGAAGGAGCAGTGCCGTGGCAATATGAAAGATGTATGTAAATAAATGTGTCTGTGCCTTTTTTATTTGAAATAGGAAATACATTAATAATTACTCATAATGTATATTTCCTGGTAATAGATATTCAGTTTTCAAATAGATGGAACCCAATCCGGGTTGTTTCATATCCGTTTGTTGCGACCAAAAAGTTATATATATATACCTATGTGTGTGTGTGTAGTATGTTCTTAAAAATTAATAAAGCATCTAGAAATGCATTTTTTTTAAGCTAAAAAGCAGAACGATTATTTTACCTTATGGATGTATTAGCGGAAGGCTGATCGCAGTTTCAATTTCTATTAACCAAGCTAGGACACATTGAATATAATAAGTTATTTTGTATATAAATTTTCTATTTTTATTGTATTACATTACAATTAGTGATCAATAGAAAAAAATTATTTGCAATGCGTATAATTTCTAAATAGAGAATTTCCATAAATACTAAATAAACAATATTTTCAATATTGTTTAAATATAGTAGCTATGTGCGAATTACATAGCAAATACACAAAAATATAAACAAAAAGTGTTTTTACAACCCAAAATCATAATTCAAGTTAATTTGTTAATAAATCTACAAATAATATGCTGTTGTTAAATGAAAATAAAATTAAATCTCTCTGTGTCACCACGTGTTTTCGGCGTTCGGCGTTGCTTCGCTAAAAGTTCAACCGTGTTGAACTTTTTAGCTAAGCAACGCCGTAACGCCACCTTGACGAAAATTGATGGAGTGGGGGTAAAACGCTGGCTTTTCTTCGCTCCGTGAAATTGTACCTTTATTATAGGGTCTCTAGCTAGCGCTATCGCCTATTGTGCAAGGGGCTTTAAGCTGGATGCACAATACAAAGGTTAGGTTAGGCAACAAGAACAGGCATCACAGGCAATAGATTTCAACCTATCGGAAGCCGTGTATCAATAGTATTGTGCCTTTAGAGGCAGAAAAGACCAAAGGCTATATTTATTTTTTATTTTGACTACAACGCGACGGTCGCTGGGTTGAGGATGCAGCAGCGTAGCTGTGAGTAAAATAATTATAAAGCGGTTTATCCCCGTTCTAGACCTGAAAATTTTTGTTTATTTTTTAATGAAAAAACTTTTATTACTTGCTATAAATTATTGTTAGCATAAAGCTGGTATCATACAAGTATGATTTCTTGAATAATTGCCATGCACGTTGTTTGCACTGAAGTTACAAATCTTCAAGCAAAAACGTTAAGTGCCCGTCTACAATAGATGTTTTAAGCCCTAAGCTTTAAGAAATTGACCAATCACAGTCAATTATTATTCTCCTCAAATTCAACTGTGATTGAACAATTTCTTAAGGCTTAGGGCTTAAAACACCTATTGTAGACCGGGATTAATACAATCATTAATAAATTTGATCAATTTCTTTACACTAAACATAATTTTCGACCAATATTGGCATTATTGTTACAATTTTGATTTAATTCGCTAGAGTAAATATTTTCATTTTGTTAAATATAATTATAATTGTAATGTTTTAATTTCATACTTTATAACTTTAAAGAAAACGATTTATTATTTAAGTATATTATATTTAATAATAATAATTTAAATTTCCCTCGTACCCAGCAAACACAGAATACACCCAGTAAAGGTGAAATTTCATGGGCAGTGAAAAGCAGCAGCAGATCGTACTGATTGGCTATAAAATAGAGGAGTTCTAGAAACTCGAGAACTTCTCTATTTTGTAGCCAATCAGTACGATCTGCTGCTGCTTTTCACTGCTCATGAAATTTCACCTTAAGCAATTTGATAGCAAATTGCGGTGTATTCTGTGTTTGCTGGGTAGTTGTCCTGAACAATATGGCGGATCAAAGTACCAATCAAAAGTTGTCTAAACGGTGTCCAATCTCTTACTTGAGGATCTCTTAAGTGCCTCTACTAGTTATACGTTATACTATATGGGTGACTGTGGTAATACTGTGCTTATATCTTTCTTTTTATATCATGGTTTATGGTTGGAATTGGCAAGGAAGGAAGAGAGAATTGGACAAAACATTACGAAAAAAACGTAAGTTTACGTCACAGCAAAGAAAAAATTGCTACTTGTGATATCAGAGTAAAATGGAAAGGTATTCAAATATTTAGTCACACCAAGAAAGACCATCGAAAACAAACAATTACAAAGTGCCCGTTAAAAATTTTTGCAAAAGAACTTTTTAGATGATATGATGTGTGTAAATTAATCGGCAGGATACTGGCGGAAATATAGCAGTTTGACAACAAAATGGCAAATAATCAAGCGGATTTGCAAGTCATGCAGATTGGCAGCAGAAATCGAGCAGAATCTATGAAATGCAAATGTTTGATTTCAATAAATTTATTTTAATACATTAGGTTTTTTCGTTTTAGCTGAACTTCTTGCACAGTTTATCTTTTCTTTTTTCTCTCCAACATGAAAAGAGAAAGAGGAAAGAAGAACTGTACATACAAGAAGCAACTAAAACGAACAGGTCTATCGTCACATAACAGGTCTGTGTTTTTATAGCTGAACTATATCACTCATTTGCTACAAACAATGACTCAGAAATAACTCAGAAAACAAAATTTTCTAAAAAATGAGTTTGAATGTTTTGAATCATTAAAATTTAGGAATATTATTTTTAAATGCGATTTTGGTGCAATAACTGATTGTAGAGAAACAAAAATATCTAGCTATATATTAGCTCTTCATTCAGTGTATTGAATTCTCACCCTTCTTTTGCAAACAGTTAAAAAATGACAATTTTTGAGTATGTCGTAACAAATGATCGATATGTATGTACTCTCTCTGTACTTTTTTTGTGTGGTTGTATCCCTCCGATGAGGGAGAGTAGATGTCTTCAGCTTCTCCTTTGATCTATACGATACAACTCGATCTCTGTACTTAAAGTGAAATAGGTATATGTTCAAAATTTAGTGAAAGATAGTGGCCTGGTTTACACCGATCTCTTGATACGCGTATCGAATAGTATATTTGAGCTGATCAGCCAATCAAACTAATTTACTAGTTTACTATTTAATACGCGTATCAAGTGATTTGTGTAAACTAGGCCATTAAATTCTAATTTAATCCAGTGCAGCGATAAAAAAAACAAACCTAATGTTTGTAAGATTTTTAGTAAAACAGTAAGCTTATTGCTGATGCAGTCGATGCCAATCTGCTGAAATTCTAGGGTAAAGTGCTTATTTCCAATTTTGGCTATAATTTTGTTAATATAATGATTTAATGAGTCAATTAAGCATGAAAATTTAGGTTGGAATCTTAGCTTGAAATTTCTGAAGAAACGGTTCATTCATCTTGCTTGAGATCTCGATATTTCAATTTTTTACAGAACTCTGAATTTGATCCGAATTAGGATTAGTGCACCTATTTCGGATCAGTCTTAGATTGACTTGTAATTCAGGTATGTGGTGTACAAATAGATGTAAACGATAGTGGATATATAACACAAATGTGAAATATTATCCGAACATTGAAATATCATTTCTGATCTGAATTAGGTGCATGAACCTAATGTGGATCAAAATTAATATCAAAGTTTTCACATAGTGGAATTTTAAGGTAAAAATACAAAATTTAGACACTTGAAAGTATGTTTTAACCTTTTTTTTTTACTATTTGAATACAAAAATGGTACTTAACCAAATCTCTTGTACCATAAATACACAAGCTCCAGTTTTTTTAGAAAAGAATCAAGTAAACTAATATTACACATATTTAAAGTTATATAACTTAACTGAAGGTTTATAGAGCTAATAACAATCATAAATCAACCGATAAAATAACACACACACATATATATATATATATATATATATATATAATTTATGAATAACTTAATTTTACTGCACTAACACCTTGCTCTAGGTTCGACATAATTACTGAAAAGATGTGCTTTTAGAGAAAGAAAATTTTCTATTTAATACTGTAAATTGACCATAGACATTTACATATAATAATGAAGCTTACATTGTCAAAAGAAACACGATTAAATAATTAGACTTGAGTACTTAAAAGTTAAACGCAAGGTCCAGAATATTCTACATTTAATCAAATATACTATTACAACGTCGTCAACGTCTATATCACACAATAGAACAGATAAATTTAATGAGTAAACAGTACTCAAGGGCGATCTTGCTAGAATAAGACCACCGCTTACGCTACAAATTGGCAGTTTTCACTATCCTTCGCATATTTTCTACACGCAAAATTTGGTCAAATTATCATGAAAATTAGATTGTGCATACCTTCAATGCATGCCAAATTTCAGTTAAAAATAACAAGTAGTTACGTCAAAACAAGCATAAATATGTACCTATGTCTAATTCTCTTCTTTTTTAGTCGCGTCGCGAACGTCTGTTTCGCAGGCCACTTTAATAGTGTTAATCAGTCGGCCGAAGGTTACCAATAGCAACCAGCGGTATTTTTAAATTGTATTATAATGTTATAAGGATAACTATAGACGATAGTAAAGGAAAAATCCACATATGATAAATACAGACGGATAGAGAGACATTTGAAATTTTTTGATCCGAATTAGGATCTGATCCGAAATAAGCACTTTACCTTACTTAAAACTACTATTAGTCTACTGGCAAACCATTGATAGTTTGCTTAAGTATAAAGTGTAGTTGTATATTTTGCTGATTTGCCATAAGATGATTGAAAGCTAGGTAGCTATTAATGTCTCGATACAGTATAATTATAAACAGCATGCTTTTTGATTTAATAAAATTAAAGTAAAATTGCTAATTATTGTCTTACCTATTATTGTTACAGTTGTCAGTAAATAAGTAATCTTGCTACATAATATGGAATAGGATAATTCTTTTCAATTAAAGATAAAAGTGTACTTGTTATACATATTTTGGATACATATGTAAACAATCTGAAGTGTTATAATTGTAGACACTTGACTATGTAAAGTTATACCTGTTTGTTATATATTCAGTTAATATTATATATATATATATACGTATATATATTTATTTATTACAAAATGCTTTCAGAATTATTTCTGAAAATCAATATTATATCAATCTTGTATTATATATAGGAGGTTGGTTTACGTTCCGCTGCGGGGCAGGCGGCGCGGCAGAGCGAAAGCCTATAAGTGTGTTTTTGTCACGTGAAATAATAAACGAATTTTAGCAAATAAATATGTGGAATGCATTCAATTAGCTGTTTCTTAAGGTTTTAAATCGTTGTTTGTACAATTGAAACCCAAATACGCTATTATCCATGTTAAAATGTGGCAATAATAAATGTGGTCCTGTTTTATTTTTACAATTTCTTGATAACTATATGTAGACAAATTATTTCAGTCTTCGAAAAAGTCTTTTCTAAATATGTCAATAATTATTTGCACCTATTTTCATTAAATTCTTATCATTTTTAATATCCTTTCGAGAGTTACATTCTCGGTTACATTACAGGTGTCGTACCTTTTTGCTATGTCGCCATGTAAGAGAAACAAGAGTATAACTTCAATAATTATAATTACTCGACAACCATGCAGACAATTGTCTTCAACTGTGGCATGGACAACAGATTCCCATAGACAAATATCCTCCATAAATTTGAACTAATTCTTATCATTCATATTGATTTGAGCAATCAACCTCCTTAATCTATGCTTAATACTTGAATTTTTAATTACATTTGTACACTGTCAAGTTAATAAATTGTGAGGATAATATGTGAGGATCTATATATTGTAAATAAAATGTAATAAATACACATAATAATAATTGTATAATATATCTCTAAATCATTTCAGGAGGTATGCTGTTATTTGTGCTTTGTAATGGATAAGACCGATACGCAAGTACAAACAACAATCTTATTTTTTGCGAAGGCCCGCGAAATAACCGGATGTAAGGAGCGTGAGTTTTGTGTACCAAGAAAATTATCCTCTGCCGATCTCTTCGACAAGATTATCTATACTTTTGAATTAGAAAGTATACGTAATCAAATAATATTAGCTGTAAACGAAGAATTTGTTGTTCCAAATAGTATTCTTATATTATCGGAGAAGGATAAGATTGCAGTTATTCCACCACTTAGCGGAGGTTTGTCCAATGACAAATTAATTAAATTAATATAAAAAGATATCTGTATTATTGTTACATATGTTTATATTGCTGTAATATTGCTTAAGTAGACGCTTGTTCTTTTTGCCCATAAGTAAAACTCATTGCCTCCAAAATATTTTTTTATGCATTTGATATAAATCAATAACCAAAATATATGTTAAGAAATAAATAAAATTAATACCTTGTTATATTATTTGTACTTTAGGATAACATGGAGAAGAAACCAAAGAATTTTGTCAAGCTGCAGCAAGAGGAATTAAATGTTGCAGAAATCATGGAGTTAGTAACATTTCCTAACTGTGGAGCAATATCAAATTTTATAGGGATTACTCGAGATAATTTTGAAAATAAAAAGGTAAAGAATATTGTAGAAATTGAAGCTTCAAATATTTGTATGACGGGCTATTTATAAATTTTAACATGCAGTGTGTAAATGCTGGATTTGCTTAGAATAAAAATATATTTCATCCTCATTACACACATTACTTAATTTTATATTGATTTAATGGAAATTTTACTCAACAATGTTTAAGAACAGATTTTAATAGTTTTACTGAAAAAAGAGCGATACAAAGAAATGCTAAACATTTTTCTTGTTTTATTTGAGAGCTTTTTTCACAAGATTTTTTACTAACTTGCTCTTTTTTTATTCATAAAAAATGATTTTTAATGTTTGTTTGGGATCTGCTGCTCCTAGAAAAATGATCATAAAACAAATTTTTCGAAATAAACAAGAATATAATGAGAGTAAGTGTAACATACAAAAAAAAATTATATCTTTTATAATACAAAGTAAATGAATAAGATCCATATTTTGTTTTGAGCAATTGTGATTTATATTATTTATTTATATTAAAAGAAAGATATAAAAGAGATAAAGTTGTCTATTAAGGAAAAAAATATGTGATAAATGTCTTGAGATTATATCTGGGAATTAATAAAAAATTGTTAATAAAAATTTTTTTCTAAAATAGTTAAAGAAAAATATTTCTGAATAATATTCTCTTCCTTAGTATTTAAATCTAAAATTAATTATTGAAATTTGTTTAGGTAATTAAGCTAGAATATGAAGCCTATGAATCAATGGCTTTAAAAGAGATGACCAATATCTGCAACAAAATTCGTTTACAATGGCATGTAGAAGGCGTTGCTATACATCATCGTATCGGAGAAGTGCCGATATCCAAAGCAAGCGTTGTAATAGCAGTTTCCTCTCCCCATAGAGAAGAATCGCTGAGGGCAGTAGAATATGCTATTAACACGTTAAAAGCATCGGTGCCTATTTGGAAAAAAGAAGTGTATGAAACGGGAGAACCACAATGGAAGCAAAATAAAGAATGTAAATGGACGAACAGTAAATAATATTTTTAATTATCAATTCTGAACTTTTTTAATGTATGTAATCTTCCCAAAAGCGTGTGATAGCCATATTTCTTTCATAACATTTATATTTTCGTTAAAGAAGATCTCAAAATAATAGATATAATTGAAACGTTTTGTTATTTACAATAAATTATTAGTACCGTTGATTCAATATTGGTATATTAAACCTTGGTAAATATCGTTGCACGGATATCTGCGTTTGGCTATTGACTTGTTTACTCAAATTTTTCTTAAAATATCTTATCTATCAACCTTCTTTACTTGAATGTAGATTTCCATAAGTTCTCGACATCTTTTTATTGAATACTTATTTTTTATATAAATCTTGCAGTATTTTTTAGTTTTAGCGTCTTATTTTTAATAAGACTTAAGGGGATCCTAAAGCGAAGCCCGAACTTCCTCGATGTCGGTAATGTCAACATTTCTAATCCTGTTTTCTATGTCATATATCTGTATCTGTCCTTGTCTAACGAGAGGCATCTGTCCTTGTTTCGATTGCTGCGCCATCTCTCGCTACACGCAATACTGCTGGTCCGGTGTCATCACGTACATTACGTTCACGTAATCGTACTTTTTGCTTAACTTTTTTGTTTGGAGTCTCAGCCTAATTCTACAAACGGCATGATATTCCTTGATGTCTACTGAATGGACCTGCACCCTCATTTAGTAACATCAAGTTGTAGAATTTTTATACGAAGCAAATATTGTTAAAGTGGATTTTTGTTTATTATCTTATTTACTTATTTTGTTACAAAATCGGTGGTCGTCCACAGAGTAGAGCACATACTTTAATTCTGTGCAAGATTTTTTCAAATCCATAAAGCCAATAAAAAATAAAGCGAAAAGTACGATTGTCGGTATTACAGACGGCTTTAGGATCCCCTTAAGGCTCCTGGGTACTTGTCGCGGCCATGTTGGAATGTGACGTCAGAAGTGAGAAATGACACGTTGAAAATTCTTGCGAAATCTAGTCATGCACACGGTCTTAAGACCGTGGTCGGGAAAGAGCCCAGGAGCCTTAATATAAGACAATTTGAAATGTTACATTTTTAATATATATATATGGCTATATGGATATTTATAATTTTTTAAAAATATCTTGTTCTACAATTTAATATCTTCATTAAATGAATATAAACTTCAACTGGAAGTGTAATAACTCCTGTTTATTACATTGTGTATACTTACAAAATATACAATATAGCGCTAGGAATGATACAAAACTAGATACAACACGTTTACTTTATTCAGTTAATATAACTATCATAGCATATAAATTAACGATAACAAATTAGAAATGCAAAATGCTACTAAATTTACAGTTTTGAAGAGAGAAGATGCTCAAACAGTTGCAGATATAAATGAAAAAATACCAAATAAAGACGTCATCGATCAAAATCTTGTACAAATTCGAGCAAGTTCGAAAGAACTAAACCATAGAATAAAGTCGTTTATTGAAAGAAAACGTCACCAAGTAAATACTGTGAATGTACAAGAATTTTGCCGCCATAGGTCAGTTCATCATTAACACTTAAATAAAAGATTTGTTTGTGTGACTGTATTAAACAATCGCTTTTATTATATAATTATAGTACTTACACATAATTAATGTAATTACAAACTGCAATTATTGTAATTAATTAATTAATTGTTATAATTGATATATCCACAGTGAAAAAAGTGGCAATGAGAATTCTTGTGCAAGAGTAGATGCCATTCTTATTCGACGCAAAGATTCCAAAAGTCATGTAAAAGGTAACAACGTAAAATAATATGCAATTTAATCTTTTATCGCTTGCACGATTTGATATTTGTTCGTATGTTTTATTCATTTCGTCAATATTTCACATTCTTTTAATTAATTTTTACGGATATATTTTGATTTGTTGTACATAGAACCGTTTGTATAAAATTTATTTGTCTCTGACGCTGTGATCCATGATAATTGGTACTTAATGCTAACTTTCAATATTTCTTCATAAATATAAATTATAGTCGAACTAAATAATCAAAAGTATAACATTACTTTATTAATATATGATGTATAATTTTATGATATATGAAGCAGATCTGGTCAACTTTGAGCTCTAGAGCCATGATATTTCTCCTGTTCCATCCATGGAGAGTGGAAGAAAGAGATTCTTCCGCTGGTTAAAGTTAATCATGCATACTCAAATTCATCCAGCGGAGGAACCCCTTTCTCCTATTTTCCGCTCTCTCCAGAGCTCGAAGTTGATCAGGCCTGCATTCTATAGCATCAAGATTTGTAATTTTATGTCTAACAATTAACTTGCTTAACTGACGAGGAGACTTACGGAAGTGTAACTCACCGATTTTAATGAAACTTGGCATACTTGTAGAACATCGAAAAATAATCGACACGTATTTTTTTATTTCGGCAATGGTGCGAGTTTAAGGGGAGGTAACCGTTCAGAGGCCCAAAAAATGCATGAATTTCAGGAATTTTTTTTATATAAAATAAATGTATTTAAAAAAAACTTTTAAGGGGTTTTATTCTTGTACTGTTACATAAGAAATTATTTTTTTTTATGTCAAAATAACGGCTCTTGCTTCCACGCCATGAAGCTACAAACGACGT